CTCTAATATCGCTGAAGCTCTTAATGCTGCTTTGGCGAAGATAGTTGAGCTTCCTATTGTTACTATGGTAGAGTCCATCCGAACAAAACTGATGCAATGGTTTTGTTTAAGGAGAGCAAAGGCAAAGCGTTTGGCTTTGCTTGCTGACCCTATAACACCAAATGTGAACAAGCTAATGATCCGCTACCATACAGCATCAGCAGGGTTGAATGTCAAAGGCGTTTCAGATTGGAGTTACCAAGTAAGTACACCTGAGCAGAAGTCTTACTATGTGGATCTTCAGAAGAAGACATGTACCTGTCAGCAGTTTCAGAAGTTGCTAATCCCTTGTCCTCATGCACTGGCTTCGGCAAGGATTAACGGCGTACACATTCCAACACTGATTGGACGGGTTTACCGGGTAACAGTCTTTCAGGCTGCATATGAGGAGTTCATATTCCCTGTACCAAATCAAGGTGATGCAGAAGTGCCTGACGTTGTGGAGCAGGAGCAATACAATCCGCCAAGGAATCCTCCTGGTCCAGGAAGGAGAAGGAAACGTAGGATCCCCTCAACTGGAGAACATGTGGTAACTTCCTAAACTATCAGTTTTTCTTTGTCAAACATATACTTGCTTTTCTCTGCTTACCAGGTCTTCTCTGTATCTCATGGAGGAAAGAGGAGAAAGAGTGGACCTCATAAGTGTTCAATATGCTATGAAGCAGGACATAACAGGGCCACTTGCTCGAATCCTGCTGTATAAGGTTGGTGAAGGGATTGAATAAAAGTATGAATTGTGGATTGTTAATGGAGGTAATAACTGTGAGAGGTTTTATAATAGCAGGGGATGGAAGTCTTTTGTGTGCACCAAATGCAGGCCAGTGGAGGTTTTTTGGTAACTATGCTAAAGCAGCAGCAGAGCCGGGATTGACGAGAGGCTGGGATGAAAGCTGTTGCGACTTGTAGAACAAGTCTTTTGTGTAACTGGTTGAAGGACTTTTTGGGAAGAGGAGGAACCATGCTTTTGGATTTCAGCTTGAAGTCGGCTAAGGTGCAGGATGACAGATAAGGAGGTTTTTTGTGTTCTGAACATGTAGTATTCAGAAGGTGCATTGTATGTAAGACAATGCACCCATGCTTCTGTTAGACTGAGGGATGTAATGTAATGTATTAGTGACTGGAAATAAGTTGCTGTCATGTATGTGGATGTGTAAAGGCCTATATATATGAAAATAGCATTTGGTGCAATTGCTTTTGTGTTCTAGAGTTTAGAACGTGTAAGCCATTAGTAGAAATAGTAGAACAGAATCTAGGACTAAAGTGAAGAACCTGTAAGCCATTAGAAGAAATAGTAGAATAGAACTAGATTTTTTTTTCGGTGAAAAGTACTTTATAAGCTTAAAGTTCATAGCAGAGTACACATTCCATCTACTAAGTTGCAGTGGAGATCTACATAAAAACAGGGAGCAAGTAGGTGACAAAATAGTACAATGTGTTAACACATTTCCTGAATACGTGTTGCGTACTTGAAGGCGAAGCATTTCGGGCATAGATGGAGAAGAGAGAAATTGTTGAGAACACAGTGTGGAAGCCCACCAAAGCGGAGTGTCTTATCATAGAGTCCAGAAGGTAAAATTCCCATGTCGGCTATTAGATGTATAACCATTTCGGCAGTGCCAACATCCTCCTCAATGGTTCCAACACGGCTGAAGAAAGCAAAGAACACTTCCATCCCTTGGTCAAATGCACCGGAACAAATTAGGAAAGCAGCAAGAGCAAACTGAGCGTATATGACTTCGTCAGTTGCTGAAGCTAGCAGATCGATTGCCCTTTGGCTAGGCCCCGTCTGAACAGCTAGGCGGAGACCTTCGACATAGTTTGCAGTAACGTTGCCTGCAGCAAGACATTTTAAAAGGAAAGGCCTGTACCTGGAGTTTTCAAGGCTATGGCGGCTGACGAAGATGAATTCATCGATGTCGGCGTCCTTTAACACTTCATCTGAAAAAACTATTGCTTTTGTAGCAGGACCAGCAGTGATTAGATGGCCAAGCTCACGGAACCCATGCTTTCCTACACGCCTAACAATGTCAGTAAGAAGAACATTTGGAATTGTATTCATGGTGTTGCGGTTGTTGTTTGGGAGTGTGGTTTAGGATGAGTGAGGAGCATTGGCTGCAGTTCTCTGACTTATATAGGCGGTATATATGTTATGAGTTCCATTGTTTGTAATAAATATGGCAGTTTAATGTGAGTAAATGTTGAACTCATTTATGAGTACAGGTGAAATAGGAACACATAGTGGATGTCAGTTTGCAGTGAAAGAGTAGGTACATGGGAGAGTGAAGTTATTTGGGTGAGTGGAGCGTAATAATGGATAATAAAGCACAAAAGAACATAATTTAAGATTAAAAATACATAAAAGAGGAAGAACAACACGGCTGAAGGTAAAATAAGATAACAACAACATAACTGAGCATGAACAAACAACTAGCAAAGGAGAAGGTACATAACAGAGAACCAATAGAGAAAACAGTTACTGCATCTGTTGCTGAGGTTGCAGCCTAGACAGAGAGGAATGTAAACATACTTCCAATTATTACTATGACTCCGTAATTTCAAAGGGCCAATCCGCATTATTTGGCGGAAGACGGTACTGCCAATGGAATCTGCTTCTTGGAATGATCCAACAACATCTACAAGTGTAGCAATGGTACAAATAGCATCATCATAGAAGCCCAAACACACTTGCAGCAAGGCTATGGTGAAGGTAGCATGAGGTAGAGAATCCCTTTGGGAGAGTAGAAGTTGGAGAGCAGACTCGGCACGGCCCTCTCGTGTTGCAAGCTTTAGGCTTTGCAGGTAACAAGCAGTTGCATTACCTGCTTCGACGCAACGGGAGAAAAAACCAAAAAAAGGAGATTCATTGTTAATCAAATGAGGATTGTTGAAAAGATAGTTTAGAGAAACTGTTTGAAGAACTGCAGGATCATAAGCAAGTGTTTTGTAGAACTTTGAAGTCCCAAGCATTCCCCCTAGATCGGCGAAACTATCAACTCCGACACGCTTAGCAATATCTATGGCAACATTGATATCCAGGTTTTCCATATTTGTTTGAGGAGTTATGTTTTGGTTGGAAGCATGTACGTTATATAGGCAAGAGAAAGTGACATGGTGGGTATGAAATTGAATTGAGAGGCAGTAGGCTGTTGTAGTTGGCATTAATGGATGACAATAGTAAGAAAGAGAGAAGGTACATAACAGGTTTATGTTAGTCAAAGCAAAGGAGTTCGGTAGAACAAGAAAAATGGATTACATGATAAACAAACGCAAGAATTTGTTTACAAGACTCAGTGTACTCCAAAGGAAAAAACTGAGACTCACATAAAGAAACAGAGATGTATTGTCCTCTAAATGGTACTTCAAAGTAGACGTGACTAAAGGAGGTATGACTGAAATAGGTGTACTAGAGTTTCTTGACATATGTTTCGTAGATGTCAAGGGCATAGCGAAGGCGGACATTGTCAATCTGTGCAGTGGTAAGATTGGCAAGGCTAGTCTGCAGACCATGCATGGTGATTTCCATAAACTTGACTGATAAAGGACCGCAGTCGCCGCCACGTGTATTCTGCGCAAGCTCGGGAACTCGTGTAAACGTGAAAGCATCATCAGGCCACGATAGAGGAATGGAACCACAGACGGAGCGAATGAGCTGAGGCAACATCTGGGCGAAAGGGGACATGAAAGAAACAACCTTACGGGAAGAAGTTAAGTCTTCAAACGGGTCGAGTATATTAATATGGCCTTTCGTAAGATCGATCGCCAAGCCAACCCAATGACGAGTACCCCAATTCATCGGAAGGTATACTGTATCAACATCTCGCATCCATTGCAGCTCTGTGCGCCTTGGCGAAACTTGCCCTTTGACATAGGAAATCAGCAAAGGGTGCCAAACAAACGCTGTTTTTTTGTCACCCTGCTTGAAGCTCATGTACTTGTTGCTGATGATGGAGGTGAACATGGAGTCAAGTATGGTGATCCGGTGGGAGATCAAGAAGGGACTGTGTGTCCCAAACAAATGCGATCAACAAATCCATGTGCTGGTCAGTAAGGCAGTAGTTAGTTTAAGACAGACAGCAGAAAACCAAAAGCAGAACGTAAGCAGAAGGTATAAGTGGGTAGGCATACCATAGATGAAACCCATTTCTGGGGTTTTAAAATATCGAAGAACAATGTTGCAGGGAACACACTCCCAGAGATGCTGTATTCGCTGTAAGAAAGGGCGAACTTGAAGCAACAATTTCAAATAGCTCAGCCAAAAATGAGTAATATAGGTGGAAGGGTTTAAAAGGTAAGTACCTTTTTGTGTACCGCCTAAGCTGTGACATGAGGGCGGTAACTTTGGTTGGGGAGGGCTTAGCAAGGGTACTAATAACAGAAGAGGACGAGGTTTTTAGCTTAACATCTTCAGAAGTATCACGCAGACGCAGCTTAGGAGCAGGTGCAGGGGTCGAAACTTGTGGTGCTGCTGAAGAGTGAAGCCTTTTTGACCGACGGGGTTGGGGCCGACTAGTAGGCAGAGTAGATGGTGATGGGAGGACAGGGATGACCCGGTCAACAGTAGTGGTGGGCATAACTGCTGAAGGAGCATCCATGGGAGGGAAACCATGTAATGCTTCTGTTGGTGGATCAACTAAAATGGGTTGTGGCATGTTAGCAGGAGCAACCGGGGGCACTTCCACTAGTGAGTCATGAACGGTAGGACGTAAAAGTCACTGGACTGCCATTGCAGACTGACAGTATAGAAATAAAGAAGAATAAGAAGCGAGACAGCGTACCCCGGCAGTGGTGGAGGACTCTGACGTCTCAGAGAGCTTGTTAAGATGTGAGGTGACGGGAGGGACAGAAGGTGGCATCTCAGGCACCACAGTGGAGCAGTGTCTAGCAGTAGAGACATGGTTTGCTTCATCAAGTAATGAGAACGCCTGCAGAAAAACGACAAATAAGAACAATGAAAATAGTGTAATTTAAGTCCTTGTGTATGATGGGATTATATGAGAGCTGGGACTGTTTTCAGTACCTTTGCAGGGGTTCTTTTCTGCGAGAAACGGAATCGTAGCTTCACCGGGGAGGTACTAGGCGGCTCTGGTTGGCGCTGCCGAGCAGTGGAGCAAGGAGAACGTGGCTGGAACATTAGAGGATTATAGCACAGAAAATGAGGGACATAACATAGTTGGGATGGGTAAAATACCTCTGACCCCAAATGTGTTTCTGCGGTGCCTACAGTAGCATGGGAACATGAAGGATGTTCAGGTTTTTTTGCAGTACAGGTAGCCGGTGTAGAACCTGAAGGTTCTACAGGTGCTGATATTGTGCCATCCCGCAGAGTAAGGCTGGCAGCAGGGCCTGATGAAACGCGCACATACTGACCAGCACGGCCAGAACGGGTGACACAGGATGGTTCTGAAGACCGGGCTTTAGAAACATGAGACGAGCTTTTGCCTTTGGGGGACTGAACAATAGGTGTAGATGCATTTGCTCGCATCATTCCACGAAAGTCAGCAAGCAAAGACGCTTTAAAACATTTTAGTTTTTTTTTCAGAAGAGTGTTAACATCTTCTGCAGTTTTGATAAACTTGGGCTTTGAACACTTCCTCTGTGGTGGCATTTCAGAAGATTCAAAATCAGAGGTGCCACTTCTTGTAGTTCTTTGTTTCCTTTTGCGGGAAGTGTACAATGAAGGTAAGGAGCCATCACCACTACACCAAAAGGTTTTAGTAAACGAAAAACCTGCAAAAATAAGCCTTTCAAGATTGCCGACTTTCTCATCTTCTGATTCTGAGGAACAAAATGGAGGGCCATCCGGGTGTGGGTACAAAACCAGCAACTGAAACATGGGAAGAATATATTAGCGCTGCAGAATATATAGAAAGGATGGAAAAACTGGAGTAAGGACAACTTACAGATGGATCATTTTCAACAGACAGAATGTTTGAGGTATGAAATGACTTGCACTTGGGAAGATGCATTAAGGTTTGGTGAAGGAAAGTTGATTGATCTTCAGCATGAGGAAGGTATTGAAGGAGCAACGGGATGGATCGAAATGCAAACAACTGGATAGCAAGAGGGAAACCATGAACAACCATGGTTGATTGCTTAAGCTTGTTTATCAGGTCGGCCTTGGTCTCAATTTTTGCCCCAACTTTCACCATCCGCAGAAGCCTTTGGAACGAGTGGCGGCCCCAGGGATATTTTAAGAAGAAGTCAACATTCTTCACCATCTCTACAACTTCAACTGAAGGTCTAACAGGTTGGGTCTTGCACAAAAGTATGCCTTCAACAATAACAATAAGAGCAAGTCTAAACCTACGCCAGATAGGCATATCTGGTTCAGCATTTAACCAAGCAACAATCTCCTTTACCGTAGCAAAGCCCAGCTTCGGAACCAATTGTTTATACCATAACGAGCATCACATTTGCATGCGTCGTTGCTGCAGCAAGTTTCGTCGACCAGGCGGCAGAGGAGAGCAACACAAACCAGTAACTTGGTGAAATTCTGCAAGAGAGAAACGCAAAGGCTGCCCCCCGTATACAAACCAAGTTTCATCTACATTGGTCGTATCAAGCTGTCTACATAACATCTGGTGCACCAATTGACCAGATACAGAACTTTGCCTGACCGGAAGGGAGAATAATGACCCAAGCGGCGAGGACAATAGCTTCTGAAGCTCAGGTGTCCCTTCCAATGCAGTCAATATGTCAATTAGGTAGCGAGGCTTAGAGTATGAGTTTATACGCACCGCATGGCCAGGGTACCGATCGACTTGAAAAATCCTTTCAGGCAGATCTTCTGCAATTTATGTAAAAACAGAGATGGTGAAAACGAGGTTAGACAAGTACTATAAGGACAATTAGGGGAAACTAATCCTGCCATATAGTATTTTTGCTTAATCTTCAAAACTAAACCCTAAGGGAACAACATAGAAAGCCTAAACCCAAACAGGGAGTGCATAAAAACCACAAATTGTTGAACCGTAATGAGCATAACAGAATAGCTAAGTATAATGACAATTAGGGGAAACCAATCCTGCCATATAGTCGTCTTTCATAATATTCAAAACTAAACCCTAAGGGAACAAGATAGAAAGCCTAAACCCAAACGGGGATAGGTAAAACACCTAAAACCATATAGTCGTCTTTCTTAATATTCAAAACTAAACCCTAAGGGAACAAGATACAAAGCCTAAACCCAAACGGGGAAAGGTAATACACCAGAAACCATAATGAACAGAAACAGGGTATGGTGGTTTGGGTGGGAAGAAGAGAGAATCACCTTTGCAAAGGAAATGATCAGATAGACTCCCATTTGAAGGCATTGTTATGAGTTCAACCTGCAACAAAAGAAACACAAGTGTGAAGCAGACCAAGTAGATATCCACGAGGAGAACAACCTCAAGACATATCCACTGCGATGAGAAGGAAATAACAAAAATTGAAAATCAAATCGCGTAATACTGGAAGCTAAGATCCGAAAGAAACCACAAAATTGGAATTGTAACGAAAGATTCGGAAGCAAAGCATAAGCGATGTAATGTTTGGAAGATTGGAAGATAGTGACAACACATTTCTCCAATTTTTTAAAAATCTAGAGAGAAACCCAGAAAAGAAGTAGGTGAGAGGAGATGCGTAGAACTTACTCAGTATGTATCACCGGCAATCAAAGTCGGAGCTCCGTAAGTACAGTTGGATCCGGAGGAGCTACTGGTAGTACGAGTCTTTGGCTTTGATGACTTACGCTTGTCGATTTGAAAACACAGGTAAATTAAGATGAAGAAGGAAGAAACCAAATTGCTTTTTTTGAGCAGAGAGAAAGAAGACTGACAAAGCGTGTAACAGCTGATACAAGCTAACTCGTGGTATAGCAAAACGTCATCATCAGCTCGTCGCCACAGGTACAAAATAATTTAAAAGAATAATAAAAAATAACAAAATTAAAAGGGGAGTGTGAGCGTGAGGCAAGGTAGACATTTCACCTAGGTTAGAAATGCCTAAAACGAAAGGCTTGGCAGATGTACCTGATGTGGTAAGTGTGGCTGAGAAAAAGCCCATTCCGGTAAATAACTCATGTGGTGGGAGGTTCTTGCAAAAGGAAAGATATGATCCGAGAGAGTTATAGAAAAAAAATTCAGGAAGGAATTAATAATGGAGAAATCAGTACTAAAACATGGTTGAATCAAGAGATCTCTCTTCAGAGACCAGGGACTACTCGTTGGAATTCTCACTACAACACTCTATTGCGGCTGATTGAGTTGTTTTCTTGTATCGTCGAGGTTCTCGAGTATATTGAGAATGAAGGTGTGGATGACTTGAAAAGACGTCAAGCACATGGTCTCCTGAACTATTTTCATAGTTTTGATTTTGTGTTTTATTTGCAAATGATGATACACCTTTTAGGACTAATAGAGAGCTTGTCAATGGCGCTTGAAAGAAGAGATCAATATATTTTAAATGCTATATCATTGGTGAAATCAACTAAGAGACAACTTCATAATTTTAGGGATGATGGGTGAAATTCTCTCATGATGAAAGTTTCTTTGTTTTGTGAGAAACATGAGATTGAAAAGATTGAGATAGAAGCAGATTATGTTGACTCAAAGAGACCAAGAAAAAGAACAGGAGTATCAAATATGCATCACTACAAGATCAATACATTTATCCTTTACCTTCAAAAAGTAGATTGAATTGTTTAATTACATACATTGCATATCATTATCTCTAGATTTTGTCGTTATTAAAACTTCCTTTTATGTGTTTGAATGTCGTAAAAAAAAAGGCTTTTCCAGAATAAAGCATTGTTACTTTGATGCAATTGTGGGTACATGAACAAAGGGAGGTTGTGGTTCTTTAAGCCAATCTTGTTCAAACATTCAATTTGGACTTGATCATATTCAATCCCTATTTTGATGTGCTCTTCTTTTTTCTTTGCCTAGTTTCATTACATTTTTTCTTCTTCCTTCTTGGTAAAGAGTATTTGCGTATGATAAAATCATGTTAAAACATTTTCCTTGTCTCCATAGTTGTTTTGACTCTTTCGTGGACTTGCAATGTTGATGTAGGAACTTGTAGAGATGATGGAGATTACAAAGTTAAAACAGTTGCCTCAAGTACTTGCAACCTTTCTTTGTGATTTTGGAATTTTTACTAACTATCCCATTGTGATAAAAATCTATTCATTGACGAGTGTTATGAAAAGCTCGATAATCTCTTTTTGTTAACCAGGTCTTGTTGTTGGACCTTATGTGATAGTAAGCACAAAAACTACATCTTCAAAGTTTTAGAAGACCATATAAACAATAGGACGTTCCAATAACCTTTTATAAAAAAAAGTTGAGAGTATTGAATATTATTTGTGTAGCTCAAATGTATATAGTATCATGGCCATGTATGATTTGTCCTAAAATAGTATTTTGAACTTTTCTAGTTGTTTCATATTGCTGAGAGCTAAATCATGCTTTTTAATAGTCCTATTGTAGTTATTTTGGTCATAGAGATTCTGATGTATATAATTACATGGTAACTTGGTTGGAACTTACTTATTGCATTTTGTAACCGTTGCGTAAAAGTGATACTATTTTCTTTTGTAATTGGTGTTTCCCTCTTAAATATATTCCTCTGGAAAAATCCAACTCCTTGATTCTAGAACAATTTTTAATCCTTTATCTTATAAATCACAAGTCACATGGCTAAAATCCTTTATTCTAATTTAAAATTACAACAGAATAAAAATAAAATCGAACTTCGTTTTAAAAAAAAAAAAATCGAAGACCCTTTCCCCTAAATGATCGATTAATTGACAACTCAGCTACTCATGTTTACAAAATAATTAATAAGCAATTTTATCATTTCCCTCTCCGGTTAAAACGCCTCTTTTTCAATCTCCACGATCTCCACCTTCCATGATCTCAACTTCCTCTAATAACTTCTTTAAGATCCAATATAAAACTTACTGTACTAACTAATTTATTTCTTCAAAATTACTCGGCAAACTGTTTATCAACAAATTTTATCTTTTTATCTTCCAAATGATTTGGACCAAATCTTACAACGTAAGTTTTTGTATGTCCTACTAACTCTTTACACCTCAAACTGGATCATCCATGGCCGCCTTCTTTCGAAAACAATGTAAGTTGTAGTTAACATTGCATATTGATCTTTGAAACTAAGACATTTAGTACATGTTATAAGTTTTAAAATCGCATTTTGCTAACTTTTACATTTTCATCTATATATTCATGAAGCCTCACTCCTCAAGTCTCTAACTCTCTCTGTTTTCACTTATATAAATCAGTGACAACCCAATCGTTGGCGGAGACCAAATAAAACAACTAGATCAAACATGTACTAGACGTCAACAACGATGAAGACGTTGGCGAGAAACAATAAGGATGGACTTAGATCTAAAAGATTTGATCGTCTGGAGGACGCAAAGCTCTCGCATGAAGAGTTCGTCATGGTCAAAACAGAGCCCCGTTAAGAGTGGAAAGAACGTATCCATGTAATTACTTCACGGCAATGCACATCTTCTTTTTTTCTACTCTTCCAACACCCCTCTTTATAGTTGAAAGACA